TCACAGTTCGCCAGAGGAGCCACTTTTCAGCTAGGGGGAACCCCATCCCTCATTGCCTCTGACTAGCAGGCCCCTCTGATCTATGCCCCCTGTGACAGAGGTCCAGGCCGACTGTGTCGTGCAGCATTGTGTGTATTTTTGTGTTTGTGTGTGCAGTAGAGGTTGGCAAGGAGTAGCAAAAAGTGAGCTGTTCTGCAGGGGATCAGGGCGTGTCTAAAGCCCTCAGTCCTGACATGCTTGGGGTCCTGGCCGTGGATTAGCCCATGGCTGTGCTAATGCTAACGCTAAAGGCAGAGCATGCAGCCATTAAGACTATAAGTCCTCCAGAGTGGAGCTTGAGAGACTGCCTGCTGCTTTCCAAAATCCCCCCAGGAGCATGTTCACACTTTCTGTCTTTTACATCTCTCTCATCTTTTCCTGACTCTCTCCTTCCCTCTGCACACTCACTTTCACTCCTCCGCTCTCTGTTGGTAGGTGCTTGTGAATATCTGTACAGTTTGGTGATATATCCCTTAACTCTCCTACTTTTCTCTCATCCTGTCTTCTTTAAAAAATCACATCCCTCTCTCTGGCTCTACCTCCCTACTTTTATTCATCCCTCTCATCTTTTTATGCCTCTTTCTCCCTGTCTCTTGCCCACTCTGGCCTCCTTCAACTAAGTGAAAGCATTACATCTGTGGCCCAGTGGATAGGTTGTCAGCTCAGTGGTCATTAAGTACATATTAGACTATATTTAAAAAGAGCCAAAATGTTAGTCGGAGACCCCGCTAGCACCTCTGGTGTTCGCACTTCATTTAGGTCTCATTAATATTCATGAACCCACAGGTGAGGCTGCTGAATATTCATGTTAGTGTCAGGTGATTAGGCAGAGTGTGATCAAGAGAGACATAGATCATAGTAACGCAGAGGGGAGGAAAGAGGTGATGACCGGTCAAAACAAAGACTGCAATGAAGGGGAAATGAGAGAGGCGAAGCGGACATTTCAACCTTCACGTTAAGAGCCAGTGTTGAAAATGAATTGAATTTCCTCTCTAGCCAAAGAATAAAGGATAACATTCTTTGATTTACAATCTCGGGCTGTATTCTCCTCTTCTGAACACTCGGCCAGGCAGCTCCTTTGAAGTTATCCTAAAATTTTGTTACAAGTGTGTGTATGTGCGTGAGAGAGGGAGAGCTGTGGTTAGTGTGTTGACATGGCACAGTGGCATCCTTAGCTGTACACTTCTCCTCCCCCCGGACTCAAACTTGTTTTCATCTGCTCTGCTTCATAAACAACTGTTGTGTAGTGCGGCTTTTGGGGCCATTTGGGGTTTGGGGTGCACTTTGCTGTCTTTCTTCCTTATCAAAACCGGGCTGCTGTTTGGAGCCTTTGTGTACTTACCTCCACTGGTAAATAAAAGGAATAAGGACAGCTTTGTCTCAACTCTGTTGTTCCTGTAGCTATTAAACAAGACAAATTGGGCACACGTGGGAAGGGGGTGAGACAAGGGTTCAATGAGCCAATTAGTGACTGCAGTGTGTGGATTTGTGTGTACTGTAATGACGCTACATGCCCAGCAAACTGCTGAAACACAAGTATCTCAAGTGGAGCTGAGATAGTTGTTGGGTAAGAGGCACTTTGTCTGGATACAGCTCATATCACTATATTTCTATTCCAGAAATATTTTGAAGAGCAAGAATCAGACTTTTAATTAAATTTAATTTCATCATGCCTGGTGATGTAAACAAAAGGCTCCGTCCTTGTTTAATTGAGTCCGCTCTTCTTCTTTTTTTTACTCTAAGATAAGATCAGTGAGGTCCTTAAAGGTATTTTAGCCATACCACGTTGTTATTGGAGACAGGGTTGCCCTGGAAACCACAGAGGTAGGTGAAATGTAGGAGAGGCTGTCGGCAATAATGCTTAAGGTTAATTTCAAAATGATGAGTTTGTATCTTCTACCTGGTTATACAGGGAGTTTTTACTTTGTTTTCCTGTGGCAAAGATAAACTAAAAACAGACCAGAACTGTTAAAGACTGGTGCATGTAAAATTAACCTGCAATTTCATTCTCACTGAGGCCAGGTTTGACTGGCATATGAACTAATCCAGAGCAGTGAGAACAAGTGTTTCCAATTATGGGTTTGTCTTACTCTGTAGAGGCACCCTTGAGGCTAATTAAAGAAATAGTATAGCAAAGAACATGTGATCACACTTAGAATAGGTATTGACAGCCATGCTGACACACAGGAACACAGCACTGTATCTTCTTGTTGACGGAACGCACATACACGATGGCCTCGTGAACAATTTATGATTGAACTGGGTTTCTTCCCATAACATATTGAATCTGTCCTCATCAATACCACACACACACACAAAACACGGCATGCTGTACGTACATCATGTAGAATTTTTAGCCTGTCTCCTATTGCTTGTATCAGCAGATGCATTGATGTAACTGTGGTAGGATGGCTGTACTGTAGCTGAAGGGAGAAATCTCACTCTCAGTGGAATTTGGACACGTGTCCAAGGATGTGACAGGCTGGTCTGTGAAGTCGCTGTTCTCTTACTGAGACATTTCACAGCAAGAAGATTCTGGAGGAAGAGGAGATTTTAAGGTTGTTTTTGGACATAAAAAGACAGTATCTCTCTCCAATGTATTTCTCTTCCGCCTTTCTGCCCATTTCTCTTCAATTTTATTAGTCCCTCTGTCTCTGCTTGAGTGAGCACTTAGTTAAAACAACTTATAATAGCTCATGATGCTACCTAATAGGGCTTGAATAATTAGCCTATTTTAGCTTTGAAAAGGCATTTCTGTAAACACTGATGTACAGCAACAGGCTTTCAGCCTCCAGTTTTTCTCCTGGCTACGGATTCAAACTTCAAATGGGAAAGGGAGAGAATTGCTTTGTCCTGTGCCAATCCAATCCTGCATGGTTCCACTTCAGGAGGTTCGGAGGTAATTCTCCTACAAAAAAATGATTGCCAGGATTCCGCAGGGCTCGGCAGTAATTCCGGATGGGAAGATTGTCAGGCTTCCTACCAAGTCTCCAGTGGGTACTGAGGCAATGATGATGACTAATTTGAGATGCAAGCTCAAAATGCCGTTGCACAACAGGGTGGTCCGGCGGTGCCTTGCAGTCATGCATCCTTTGACGTTTACAACCAAACGTGCGCCTACTGTACTGAATCACAAACAGAGATCCTTTGAGCACACAGCACACTGTGGATGAGGGTGAGGTTTTCTGGGCAGATGGCCGTGACCCTAGGCAGTCAATCAGTCAGTCAGTCATAGCTAAGCTTAGCGTGAACTTGGAGGATACATGAAGTAAAAGATGCAGAGAGCTGTTAAAGAATGCACGAGAAGCAAATAAAATGTAAATGACAGCTTATTAACAACCTGCTACCACAAATGTATATTCCTGATCCAGGCTGGATATCCTTTGACATTTTTTTTATGCCATTGCAATACATGAGTTTCGTTGCCAATACCAAAACAATACTTTTTTTTGATTCCTTACATTGAGGAATATAACAATTTTTCTACAAAACCCCTTTTTCATTTGACAAAAAGCCAACATTGTTAAATATTAAAGGCTGTTTAAACAGAAGCACTACAAGAACTCTGTCTAGATAAAATGCATTCACATCTCCAAATTGATAAAAATGTTATCAGACAGTCTGATTAAAGAATAAGTGAAGAAGAGTACGAATCTTGTATATGTGCCATACATATTTATTTACAACATAAGTTTGTTTTTACAAATTTATAAACAATTAATTGCATTAAACTGCAATTACTGCATTTGATAGGCTTGCAAATTTACCTAGAAAAAGTGTACAAATCATCTAATATGTGTGTTATTTTGACAATTCTAGTAGACATCAGTCCTCTGATCCAAATAGATGTTCCACTCTCATTTTGGTTGGAATAATGACTAATGGAATAATGCCGTTGCATGTCTGCCACTGAGATCAATTAAGGAAATTTGTTTCCCAAAATTGGGCTCAGCCAAGAAACAACTCTTGGCTCGCTGTCAATGTACCAACACTAGAAAGCGCTACCAATCAAATTGTTATTGCTTAGGTTAAAGACTGTAAAAGTTGCTGATAGAGATGATCAGCACTGGGTCTGCCAGGTCCAGTCAAAGAGGCTAGAAATGGCACTTCATGAATCCACATATATGGGGAATTGATCGACATTCATTCAAGCTGTAAATACCGGCACTGTGATTATGACTCTATGTGACAAATCTTTATTATGTAATATTAATATCAGTTGTTTAAAGAGCTCGTGAAGTAGAAGAGTGCTTCATGTCCTGTAATGTTGAATATAAAATACAGCAGGTCTTACGGCATGAAAAATGAAATAATCCTCCCCCGAAGCATTTGACAGCGGGGCCCTGGTCGCGGTCACACCTGATGTACCTGCAGCTAATCCTATCCCACAACCGATGTCACTATAACCAATCCTGTCACAGCATTCAGGGTAGCCTTAGCTCCATCCTGACATCTCAGTTACACCTCTATATCATCTCCTCCCTCTCCTATCTGCTCTCTTCCCGTCCTTGCTTGACTTTATAAATGCATTCCTTCTTTTTACTCTTTGCTTTTCTTTTTGGCAGTCTGACAGACCCCCTGCCCTGCTTTTGTCTTGTAGCTTACCTAATTATAGCCACAGACTTGCTTTACAATCCACCCCCCTCTCCCTCACCCTTGTCTCTTCAACTGTTCTGCATCTTATCTTACATTTCTACCGTGATACCAACAGACCTCCCATCCCCACAGCTTTGATTTGCCTGACATTTCCTCCTTCCTGTCACCTGCCTTACCCACCCACGCACCACTATCTTTTCCTGCACTGCTGCCACCAGAAATAAACCCAGCTACAGGTCGTGTGTCACAAAACAGAAATTGCATTGTGTAACTGTCAACAGCACTCACATTGTCCTGTACCCAAAGGAATGACTGTCTTCTCTTTCTCTTTCCATTCTTCCCTGTTCTGTACTAATTCTTTACAGAGAGCAAGCTGCGAGTGCAAAAGACCAACCAGTCTCAGGTGTACCTGGAGGACAGTCGTGTCAGGATCAACTGCTCCATCGCGTCCCAGACCAGCCAGGACTCCCAGCACGCCGTGCTGTGGTACGTGAGGCGCGCAACCGGGTCAGAGGCAGATGAGCTCCTGCTGAGAATTGAACGCTCGGGGGCCTTTGAGTATGGCGCCTATGCAGACGAGGAGAGACTGCGTCGCCGAGTGCAGGCCGAGAGGCTGTCACCCCGTCTATATGTGCTGACGCTGAACAGGGCAGAGAACAGTGATTCTGGAACATACTACTGCTTGGTGGAGGAGTGGCTGAGTGACCCAGATGGAGCTTGGTATCGACTCTCCCGGGAGTCCTCAGGGTTCACGCAGGTTCTTGTCAGACAGCCAGGTGAGCAAGCGGTCGAAAGTGCTGTTGTCTCCAACATAATGCTTATTTATTCCCACTGCAGAGAAGCAGCAGCTGCTACTTTAGCCCCACATGCTGTCCTGCTTTAGACCAGTTGAACATTATTGTCCCGATCCCTTTTCCAAATCCCTTACACCTTGCCTCTCACTTTTACATGCTCCGCTCAAGACCTCCAGGCCATTTCGCTCTCATGACCTTGCACCTGCCCCGGGCACAGCTCAGGTGGCAAAAAAATGTGATAAAGTCGTGCCAGCCCTCCTATGCCATGCCAGAGGGCCTGGCATATGAGCCTGGCTCAGAGTGAGAACCTAAATCTCTTGTCTAGTACTATAAAATGTCGCTCAGAGCCACAACGTACCTACTGCCACCCAAACACTGACATCCTACCTTATGGAAGTTATCTTAAGTAAACTCATCTCATATCTCTTTCTGTACTTGACTCAATTTACCCACATCCCATATTCTCTCACCACAAACGTCCCCTCCTCTTCAATCAAACTCCATGCCCCAAAATGCAAATACACAACAACTCATCCATCTTCAACATACCCTTTTTTTTGTATGAATCTATTCCACACACCAGCTGAAGGTGACTTCTCTGAGAGCAGTGTTCTTCTGCCAGGTGTCCTGTTTATAATGCAGAGTGAAATCCCCAATATGGCATCTGTCCAACTCGTGAGGATCAAAACGTCTGGTCATAAGCGAATAGGGCAAGGAAAGCGCCTGTATTTTATGTAGACAGTGAAGCTGACACTGCTCAAACAATTAACTGAGCTACAGCGCACATACAAATATATGATATCATATCATATCATATCATATCATACCATATCATAATCTGGAAGGTAGTTGATAACCATATAGGTTTTTACTTTTAATGATACATACTGTAAATATCTACAGAAGATGAATAGAATATGCTATATAAACATCATGGATATTCATTAAGGTGCTAAAAAATGCGTTCACCTAGGAAGTCATCCAGAAATCTGCTTGTCTGGAGGAAAGATGAGGGGAGATGTGTGCCAGCAACGTTTTTTTTTTTCCTGCTCTCCCGCTGTCCTTTCTGCTTCTCGTTTTGCTTTAACAAGAAGACCTTTCAAAACTGTTTGTGAGAGGAGCTCAAGCAAGCCAGGTCTTTACTGCCATTTTCTTTTTTAACTGCAGTGGAACTGGGTCATTGTACCATCCCTGAAGGGTTGTAGCATACCCATACAGACAGACACACTATCCTTGGGGCAGGATCTAACCTTGCTGCAACGCAGAAAGACTGGTGATAGCTGTGGGCAGCACTGTGGGATTTTTTGTCTTTTGTTCGCGTTTTGAAAGTTTGGTGTCCCTGTTAGCAGAATCATTTGTTGGCTTGCGGTGTTAATTTGAAGTTCAAATTAAGGCTGCAACCAGTGATTATTTGGATTATGTAATATTTGGAATATTTTCTCAATCGTTGTGTGCCTAAAATGTCTGAATGTGTCAAAACAGTGAGAAATGCCTGCCACAATTTTGATCTATCTGTCTTTAAATAGCTTGTTTCATCTGATCAACAGTCTAAAGCACAGAGATATTCAGATCCACTATCATACAAGAAAAAAGAGTTTTGGGCATTTTACTTGAAAAACAAATTTAATTGATTTTCAAAATAGATGCTGATTAATTTTTCACCAGTCACCTAATATATCAATCGATTATGCATCTAAATTGTATTTGAAATAGAAATAGCAGTCAATGTAAGTTTGAGTGAACATTGAGACTCGATTGCTATACCCCAAGAAATTCTGTACATTTCAATACATAACCACCTTTTCTGCCCCCATCTGTTTCTCTTTCTTATCTTCTTGGACCTCTGCAGAGGTTCGACTGCAGGTGGAGGAAATGGACTCAAACGTGACAGTGGAAGAGTCTGGCTCCATCCGATTGGGCTGTAGCATTCCCTCCCAGTCGTCCCGAGACTCCCGCTTCTCCGTGTCCTGGTACGTGGACCGCTCTGAAGATGAGGAAGATGAGGACCAGCCAGGTGAGGAAGAGAGAGAGCGGGAGTGTGTGTTCTCCATCGGCCATGATGCCGTTTTCGGAAATGGAAACTGCAGTCCCAGAGAGGAGGCTGGGCCAAATTCCCGCCTGCAGTTTGAGCGGATGACCTCTGACCAGTACAGCCTGACCATTCAAGGAGCACGGCCAACAGACGCAGGCCGATATTATTGCCATGTGGAGGAGTGGCTACTCAACCCTCGCAATGCGTGGTACCGACTGACCACTAACAACTCTGGGTTCACTATCGTCAATGTGCTGCAACAAGGTAAGTCCGTAATTAAATAAATCCTTTGAGCTTCTCTGAATGTAAGTGAAAATGAACACAGAAACATGAACACTATACTTGTATCCATGTCTTCTGTTATTATACTGGCAACTGAAGACCGGAGATGTTCTTCACAGATAGCACAAGGTGTAATTAACTGCTGAATCTTTGGATGTTTCGTCTCACAGTATATATAATATTGTCATATTGCCCAATCCTACTATGTCCTCTGTGTTACAGTGTATGTAACTAGAGAAAATTATAGGCCATAAAAGGAGCTCTCAGATAGATATGTCATCACTACCCTACGTTGGATGATTTGGCTTCCCCAGTTAAAAGCAGGGCAAGAGATCACCCACTGTTTAGCAATAAAGTTGAGCAATTAATGGTGTCAAAAGCGATGCTTGGATCTAAAGATGTCAAATAAATTCATTCACCAGTGTCAACAGCTAGATGAATTTAATTTATTCTACATGCTAAGAGACATTAAAAAAAAGAATACAGTTTCTTAAAAAGGTCCTTTTCAAGGAAGGGTTTTTGCATCTGTGAAAAAACAGATTTTTCTATTCTGTCAACAGTGTCCTCCCTCCAGTCAGTGGTGTGCTCCAACGACTCCCTCTTCTACTTCGTCTTCTTTTACCCCTTCCCCATCTTCGGCATCCTCCTCATCGCTGTGCTGCTGGTGCGCTACAAGAGCCGCAACAACAGCAAGAGCCAAGAAGGCAAGAACGGCGCCCCCCTCCTGTGGATTAAAGAACCTCACCTCAGTTACTCTCCCACCTGTCTGGACCCACCTGCGCTCAGCCTACACCCTGGCTCCGTCGACTAAGCGAGGGTCCCGGCCCCCCCCCCCTCCCCTCCCCTGCCTCGTGCACATAGCGGATCCAGCCAACACAATGCCAGGGAGCAGATCTGGACTCCACCTTCAGAACTTACTGTCGTTCACTGCTGTGTTGAATTAGTCAATCAGTTGATCAGTTTAAAAATTCCTACCCTGGTGGCTGCCTGTTTAAGTTAACAACAGTGTTTGTTTTGCTCTGTGTGTGGGTGTGTGTGTGGATTAGAATGGGTGTGCCATGTTAGCACGATTAATTGTACGAGTGCGAATTGAAGGGCGAGAGAGTATCACGAGCCTCTCTCATTTTTGTTTTCTGTGAAACTTAATCTCATAGCTGCATTTTAATTTTTATTACTCTGAATATTTGTCTATTTTTCAAAAGAGAAGAAAAAACTGCGCACATGGAGATCACTGGCCAATCCGGGAAGAACATTTAAGAGAAGGAACTCTATAATCAACTCCGGCACTGAGTGGATGCCAAAAAAAAGTCTCCGCACTGATCCAAGAGCAGCCACAGCCTGGCCCACTATGTTGGTTGCCATAGTGATTCTCTGCGCCCACTGACTCCGTAGCTGAAGACTTGGTTGCCAGCCTGCATAGAGACAAAGGCAAGGACACACAAGTCTGTGTCCTAAGTGAGGATGTGTGTATGTGTGTTGGCCCACCTGCCTCCACAATGAATTTGCCTTGGCAGACAGAAACAGGTCCTCGTGCGCCACTTAAACACTGCCAGACACTCTGGCCTTAGTGAGAGACTGCTCCGCTCTTTTCTTCTGTCCTCCTCCTTTCTAAAAAGAGACGGTGAGAGAAAGAGGGAGCAATGTCGGAAATGATGGAGAATAAATGAACAGTCCTCTCCTGCTGGAGATATACGTACTTTGACATAAGTATAATCTTTTTTTTTTTTTTAGTGCCAAGACCTCCTTATTTCCACTCTGTCCTCTGTGGCTAATGTTTGAAGTTTTAAAGAGAGGGGGAGAAAGCTGATTGGTTTTTGAGGCAGATTGTAAATATATCCGCTCACCTCCTGCTGTGAGTTTATGGGCCTTGTGGGCAAAAGGGTGATTTGTACACTCATGTTACATCAGTTGAATTGTCCTGTTTAATTTACACTTTGGAGGTAACTGACTGCAATTAAATTCTTGCATATTTCTTTAAGTTGCCCATACAACCACCTCATCCTGTCTTTGAAAGATATCAGAAGCTCAAAAGATGCACATTAGTTTAAAAGAAGACTTTTGATTTGTTAAGCGCCACACTAAAGATTACCAATGTGTAGATGTGTAGTGAAACCCTCTAAAAATGTTATCTGCACATTATAAGAAAACAAATTGATGGGCAAATGTTTGACTTTTGTGTTTATTTTAAAGATTTTTCTATTTATTGTTTTATACTACTTTGCATAGCTTTGTAAGATTTTTCTTTTTGCTTTGAAATTCTCTAAGAACTGTGCTGCTTGTGTTGCCAGGCAACTGCACCAAGCAGATTATGTCAATAGCCTGTGTGTTGGCAGTGTGGTAGATGTACAAATGCTAGATTTGTCCTGCGCATTGCAGTCTGTAGCATTTCACACCAGATTGTTAAGTTTGGTCAGTGTCATAACACTGTATATCTATACCTATAATGAAAATTACTGTGGCTTTACATGTACATTAGTTGAACAGACAAGTCACAAAAATTAATTCACGTAATGCTTTTTGCTTGAGTCGCGTTTATTTAGTGAAAATGTGATGTAACACCTAGGTAGGATGTTTGATCAAAGACAGCTGAAGCTGAACTGTTGAAACGTCTTCTAATCATGGATTCTAGCTAAAGGCGTCATCCTCGGCTCCCCTGACGCAAGGCAGAAGGGTTGAAAATCGGTGTCACCTTCCCTGGAATGCAACTGCCAGGAGAGGTGTGAAATCCTCCACCCGACCTGGTCCTAACCCTTTCACTGCCAGACTGGACATGAAAACTCTTGAAAACCTTGACATTGTTGTCTCAATTGTGTCAACATGTATATTGCATGACAATACTGCAGGAGGAATTTTGATGTTTTGTAAACTTTGAACTCTTTGAGCATTGTGTTTGTGTGACAGAGCAGTGCCCAACCCCCCCCCCGACTTCCTGAGCCAAGAGTCAACACAAAGCCCTGTCCCTCGTCATTTTTAATATTTGACTGCCATTTCCAGATGCCCCTTGAACCTGTGAAGTAATCTATTTCAAGAATGGGTGTTGTGGAGATTGTGTTTGATATTATTGCTCATATTCATTTCATATTGTCTTTTTAATGCTTTGCTTTTATGCAGCACTTCATTAAACAGATTTATGTAAAAAGTACGTAGCTGATACTGACACAAGCCACTGAGTTCTGAGATTTCAGCCTCCTGCACTGTTCTTGAAGGTAACCAGCCCAAGGCTGGTGCTATTTAGTCAGTGGTTGTGAATTAAGCTACAATTAAATGTCTTCAAAAAGGAAAAAAAAGAACCCATCGATTAGCTGCCCGTCTACTTGTTGTTAACCTTTTGTTTACAAGTGTTTTCACAAAAGTAGTATTGATGTGGATAAATAATCATTAGCAGAGAATTAGGATGGTGTGCACATTTAACCTCAGTTGGGTACAAGGTGCCGGACATAAGCAGCATATGGTAAAAGTTAAGTAGTGCACCCAGTGAATATGGCAAACTCCCAAGAAGTTGTAAGGCAACATCTCAACCATCAAAGTCTTTATCAGGCAAACATCCACATTAGAGAAAACCGAAACTGACAAGAAGAATTTGAGGAACACATAAGCCAAAAAGTTATCCACTATATACACAAACTCACATGGCAACTATGCTAAAACTGTCTAAAAACCTATGCAGGGTATATGTATATATACAGTATAATACACATTTTTGACAAATGTACAATATTGTGATTGTGCATGAGAAAATCAATTTGTAAATAGTCTTAGTTTTTTGTGATCTCCTCGTTGTAGGTGGAGTTGTCATTTTCTCTGTATATATGGCCTGTTTTCCTCACACATGGGTGCCCAACAAAGACCTTGGTGGTCAAAATGTTGCCTCATTAAATTGCAGTATTCAGTGTGTGGACTACCTCTCTTTTGCCATTATAAACAGTCTTTTGCCTCCCGTTGTTATTTGATGTGACTTGCGAGTGCAAGTCAAAGGTATATATATCAAAACTGCAGGAAAGCCCTTGTGTGCATTTCCAGGCCCCAGTATCACCAGGAATAATTGATAGAGCTGTTGGAAAGGTCTTATGCGATTTGACAGTAATGGTTGCATATCTTATTGACTTCCATTTGCATTGGCAGTAAACGCTAATGGGGAGCTGATTTCAGTTTTTCATGAGCAAAACTACGGGAGCTTGTTTGTCGGTTGAATGATTGCCTTTTATAAATCTTAAACATTCCCAGAGATGCAGGTTGTGTAAATGGTGCCACTGAACAGCTGCTTCAACTTCAGTGTGTACATCACATATAATCTTACACTTACTTCATGCAAAATTCATTTGACTTTTAGACTTGAGCCAGGAAGTGCAGGGCGTGGTCGCGGTGTGTGTCAGAGCGCTGCCGCTATCGCTGGAGCTTGAACAGTTGAACTCTGAATGATGTTTTTTGTAGTAATAATATTATTACCATCCATAGCTGCCTCCCAAGATTCCTCCAGACGTTCTGACAGTGTTGTAGCTGCGTTTTGAGGGCTGCATGTATTGGCTGTGTGCTGGCTCCAGAATTTAGGTGTAAAATAGTTTGTGGTGATGTTTTCAGTTTCAGCCAGTGATGCTTTATTTTCAGTGATGTATTTTTATATGACCATGGTTTATTTTCTTTTTTCTTTTGTTATTCTATCGAATAGTTGCCACCGTGACCATTAAAAAGGCACTTTGCTATTGTCAGTTTATTGCAATAAAATACATTAAGTGCATCTTCCTGTTGTCCTTTCAACCATATGCATTTTGCATCATTTGGAGTTATTAATCCAGCTACAAGCACCATTCCCAACTATTTAATTCTGTCTTAACCGTAAACTCAAGGTTAATTCCCTGTATGTAGCAGGGTCTTGTTGAGTCGGAGTGGGTTTTCAACGTCTCACAGCTACGTATTTACTCTGTATGTGCAGTTGGGTCTGTGCGTGTATGTTGAGTTGGGGAGAGGGAAGAAGTTGGGTCAGCATGTCAGAGGATAAATGATGCTTAGAGGGCCTCCTGCAAGTCAACCAGGCACTTTTTTGACAGCCTCAGCAAATCACATTTCACTATTCATAACTCATCCAATGCAGATGGACTTACTCACTCTTCCTCCCTCTCTCCTATACACACACACGCACAACTTCTGAGCAGTCACCCACCAGTCCATGTCATTCGTAAACTTCTCTCTAACGCCTTCTCCCATGAATTCATATTAATGCGCACATACCCAGTGAAGCCAAGAACAAATGCTGCCATCCATTCCATAAATCACGGTGACACAAAGGGAAAACAGCATTCACTGCAAGAAAAATCATAGTTTGGTGTTTGCTTGTGGAGTCACTGGATTGTTTGCTAGGTGCTGTGATGCATGCAGGTTCCCATGCAAAAGCTTTTTGGTCGACTCTTGACAAAACAATCTGTCTTGACTGAAAGAGCCCCCACACTCAAAGATCTATTGATTCCGCTGGTGCTGATAGCAGGCACACTGATATTGCTGATGTTATTGTCAGCCAGCTCCATCACAACTTCACAGAGTGCAAAAAACCCAGAATCCTCCCCCTTTGAGCACCATCTTCCTGTCCCACTTTCTCCCTGATTCTTGTTCCGTCTCCTTTTTCTCCAGCACACACACACCCTATGAGGAAAGATCTATTTTGCATAAAAGTAAGCAACGTCCACAAATCCATAGTCTTCGCCGAGGATGCAGACACCAGAGGGCACACATGGACAGACAGTATTTAACGATCCAGAGCAGCAGGGCAGCATTCAGGCAAATAGATTATCATTTATTACCAGTGAGAAAGGAAGCACTCCTGCTTTCGTTGTGGTGAGCTTCATAACAAGGACAAAGAGGAAAAATCCATAAAGAACGGTACAGACCGACATACAAGTGGAACTGTCAGAAAGGAATATTTCCTGTATAACCATGTTGACTTACCATAACACAATGCTTGGCATCAACTATATATAAGCAGGACAGATATGTTGTTCTGTTCTAAGAGGTGAAGACATAAGGAGCTACAGAATTAACAGCTTGCAGTGTGACTGGTCTTTTGAGGCGTGTGCACAGCTTGTTGCACTCACCTTTGTATACCACACTGCTTTGTGTGGTATGACTCACTGTGATCAAAGTGTGAGTCAGTAAGAACAGTGAGATATCTTGTTAATATACAAATTGGAAGCGTCACATCTCGAGTGGCGTACTGGTTTGCCTCTACATGATTTAAGTATAGTAGAAAGTGAGCTAACAGTTGTAGGAAAACAGATGTACCACCTGTCCTGCTGAAAATGGCACTACAGTTTGCTGGTGATGTATCAGCAGCAGTGAGTAGTCTCTGGGGCTGTGTGATCTGTGTAACTTCTGCTGGAAAAAAGTAAGTTGTTGATGATTATTATGGAAACTCCAGGCAAGAAAATATATTTCACATGCAGCGCAAAACACACAAGACACTGACATCCAAACAACAAAAACACTGAGGGTCCCACATCATTTATTATGAATTAAAAACATGCACAAATTTACAAACACACAAACTGCCACGCACACTGGAATATTCTCATCTCATCCATAATTGATAAACACTAAAATTGTGTGTGTACTTCCACTGGTTCTGCCTAAGATGGAGTAAACTGATGCTGAGGTTGCTACTAGGCAACGTTCCCCTGGGAGTGCTGCATTTAGTCTCTTTATTCTCTTAGGCCCCGTAAAAGCCTGGAGATTCAGATCCAGAGCTAATTAACTGTTCCAGGCATTTGTTGTTTTATTTGTTTTTTATTGAGAATTTAAATGAACATTTAAATACCTGATAGGTTGGATGACCTTGCTGATATTTATAATTTATCAGGAAGATTTTGCCAAGGCCCTTTTTGTCTTGACCTTTCCTAGTAAGACTAATATTTGAGCTTGGTCAACACATACTTTTCACTATCCAAGGATGGATTTACCAGAGGTAGTTTAACATAGCTTCTGTGAACAGGAGTAGATGGAGGGATATAGAGTTATCAGACATGCTAGCAGCTCTGTGAGGTTGTACTTACAGCAGTGGTTTAAGCATCACAATATGGATGTATTATGGCTCACAATGACAATTCTAACATACTGATAGTTGCTGAATACTGTAGTTTTGGTCATTTTGACCTGATAGTTGCGCTAAGTGAAAAATTAAGGGATCCCCAAAGTTATTAGAATCCACCAGTAGGGGGAGATGAATATCTGCACCAAATTGTATTGCAATCCATCCCATAGTTGTTGAGATATTTCAGTCTGGACCAGAGTGGTCGACCCACCAACGTAGTCATACCAGGAGCCACATCGTTAGCATGGTGAAATGGCGATCTGGCTGTCATATATTGTACATCCAACAAGATGGAGTACTGATTTTAATTTCCTTGGATCCATGCCAGACCTGCTTAGCAGTGCTGTGGCTATATAAAAATAGATTCATGCAAGCAAATTAATAATTATCATCTGTGAGAAACGATAAGCTCATAATATAGCCACTGCATTCTGCCTTTAGGCGTTTTACACAACAGTATAGTAAACAGGGTGCTCAGAAGCAGCAAGGGCAAATAACTGCCCTGACGTGTGCCCCCTTCTGTGAATCACAACTCAGTTATCCATCATAAGTGTGATATATACTGTACAGTAGCCCAACTTGCTGCAGGGCAAAGCAAAGAGATGTTTTGTAATATTATTCAAAGCAAGTTGTTTTTTAATTGTTAATAAGACTATGCACATTCGATCAGATGATGCCTTTATGCATAAGTAAAGGTGGTAACAACAGCAAGCTAATCAGCGATGTGCATCTTGTTCTCCAGTGGGATGCCAAGTAATTATGAATGAGGAGCAGGCAAAGCAGGGTTCACTAATGTGCCTTCAGTGCTGAAGATGAGGAGAGAAGCAGAAAGATATAATTCTACTATATAATGATCCCAGACAGGGGGAAGGGTGAGTCATGGAGGCAAAGAATCCATCAGGGAATAGATGGAACAAAATAAATGGCATCTGAAAGTGCAAGAGAAGAAAAAAAAAGGGGGGGTGGGGTGTAAAAACCACATTCTCCTGGGACGAACAGCTACTTCAAACTGTATCTTTGGATGGGCCTATTGAATATTTGACAACATATAATATAGCCTACAAGGGATCTCATTCAGTGATTGATCTCTCATAAACATGAATATGGGTAAAGATACTGGTATCAGAATGCTTGAGATCCTGGTGTGAAATTTTCACATGGATTTTACTCCTACTCAAACCAGGCGTAGCTGCTCCCTGTAGTGGTGGTGTGTGTTCCTGTGAGTGAGTAGTGGTAGCTCCTGCGGTCCATCAAGACGGCCTTTGAGGGGGACCTGCTGTTTTGGTGATCTGACCGCCTTCACTGGGTGGTTGTACACCCTGTGGTACTCTGTTGAAGTCTGCACACATCTCTGCCTGGGACTGAGACATTCCCCTTGCGGCAGTGCTCTGAAGATCAAAAGCTATACATGATGTCTGTCTGACTCATTTTTGGTGTAAAATCTTTTTCTGGACTTTAAATATCGGCGCTTTCTCTACATTTCTACCTCTCCCTGTGTGTATTCTTATGTACACACCATTCATGACGCCATGACAGACATAGGCGATTCACACCTGACCAGGAGGAAAGGCCAAGTAGTGATGTACAGGCCTATTACTGGTTTTAACCGCAAATGACAGTACCTGTGGATGTGGTTGTCATGGCACCAGAGTGTGAAGTCTTTCATGAGTGACTTTGATGTATAAGTTAAAGCCCAGCATGTGAGATATGAGTCTCCCACTGTACCCTTCATACACTAACTCCGCCATTGGTGCTGCTCATATTTCCCTCTCTGCATTTTTAATTTCATATTAAATCAACAAACAGCGCATTAACAGTGCAAGATAATCTGGGGAGAAAAACTGTCAATTAGCTGATTATGAGACTGCTACATGGCTTAAGGAGTGTGGAGCATATGTAGGTGCTGACTACACCCTCACACTGAATTGTGTCCCTGTCTTTTGCAAGGCGGCAGTGACAGAGGCATACAAATCGCCTGTCATCTTCCATTAGAACAGAAATCGGTCACAGGAGATTCCCTCATGATGTACAAACTCATGTATTATACACAAACTCCTGTCACATGCACGCGCTGTATACGAACCTCTATGTACACGTATACAATGATGAACAGAAATGATGACATTATCTGCCATTACACGTGAAGTTGAAATGAAAATACAGATTTTAGGCATCAATATTTCAATGGGTCTGTGAATTGCCTCCAAGACATGTGTTGCATTATTGAGAGGGAGCTGCTTGCAGTTTGAAGTATGTCATGGGTGATTCTCATTGACAGGAGGAATTCTTTCAGCAGACAAAAAGATGAGAGATACTATAGACGTGTCTTTAGTCTTTCTGGGTGTCCTCAGGAAAAGGTTTCTACATTCCAGTCCGGCTCAACTAATGCAATGTTACATATTGATTCCCAAAAATTCACCCTGCTCACAAACTTGGATTACTCCCATTTCCAACTAAATGGTCTGGGGCACCACTACTGCACATGATTTACTTTGTGTATAAACAGTTTTCAAGTCATTTTGCCAAAAACATTTTCTCAGCAGCGCCGCTCTACAGCAGCAGTCTATAGCCTCTGCAGCACTGTTGGTAGCGGTGTTCACACTGTGGATGTTGAATGCATTATAGATTACAGCACTGTTTCTAATCTAGAGCTGTGTAAAATATGTAGATATGCTTACAAATAAATAATATATTCTTACAATTTAATTACATTTCTTGTATTGACGAGGAAACCCCCAAACTATAAGGGATTTTTGTCCAAACTCGCCATCTAGTGTACGAAAAAGGAAACTGTAGTAAAAGCCAGTAACATAGGTAGGGTTATATTTTAAGTAGTCATGTCAAGTAAAAGTACTGAAGAAGGGAGTGTTATATTAAAGATTATACTATTGAAGCATTTTACTGATGTATTTGTACTATATTGTACTGTTGAGTAGTTTAATCTACAATAATGAAGTTACTACTAACTGCAGCTGCCAAATAAATGTAGTTGAGCAAAAAGTACAATAATTCCCTCTGAAATGTAGTAAAATAGAAAAATAAAGTATAAAGTATTAAACATAAATGTAATTAACAGTACAGTGAATTTTCTACACTGTTGGACTATAGTAATGATGTTTACAGCTCTCTTAAATATTGGTCATCGTTCAGAATTAGCAGGACCCCGTACTGCATTTGCCAACCTGAAGGTAAAAGATCAAGGGGCTTAATTCAGTAATTTGCTGTGTATTCATAAGTCTGCCAACACTCTTTTTCAATTAAATAGTATGAACGACACTCAAGGTCAAACTGCAAAGAATTCACACTTCACTTCATTTGTGTCTTTTTAATCAGCAAAACCAAATCTCATGGAATTTAGAAGTGTACATTATTTTTGCTCAGTAGTGTTAAGTTGCCTGTGAATGGTCCATTTCAATGAAAACAGCAAAAGCCAAGGAGCCAAGATGATCTCAGATGGAAAAAAAAAACTGACTTCCATCTGAGAACGCGGTGCTCCTAGGACCATTTTATTTCCATAATTAATTTATACTTCCAACTTACAGGGTAATCAAACAATACTCAGGAATGTTTACAGATGTGAAATCGGTGTCGCCTCAGCTCCCGCCTCGAAATGGTCGTCTCACTTTGAGTTATTTGTTCAGAGAGGAGATTGTGGCAGCAGAGGATAAAGTTCAGAAAGTTTTGCAGAGGCGCCGTGGAGCTTCACTTACATCAAACAGTGATTTGGATTTGCCATCAGCTCTCGCCTCCACAGAAGCCCCCCCTGCTCCGACCGTAACCCCCGACCCCTACCCCAAAAAATGTCTGTTCCACAGGCCGCTGTGTTGTGTTGCTGGGACGGGCAAGTAGAGCTTCGACAAAGCGGAATTATCAGCGGTCCAGTGAACGTTTCTGGATTGCTTCGGCCACCGCGGTGCGCAGGAGGGCAATGACAGAACGAGGGTCGTCACTGCCTATCACAGCGCTGCCTGACACAATCATGTTGGCTCCTGCCTGAAGCAAACATGAGCATTCGTGAACTGTCAGCGGACACAAAATCTATAAAATAATTTTAAGATGGTTATTCTATTAGTTGATATTTGTTACCTCTGCACATTTGTGAATGCTGTCAGGGCCGACCCCTCCATCCACTTCAATGTCTAACGAAGGGAACTGACTCCTCAACCAGCTCACCTGAGTCACATGCAGAGAAATAAAAGAGAACACCATTTCTGAAACACGATTTTCAAACGTTAATAGGACTGCAAAAAGAGACACAGTGCTGCGGATTAAATCAAACACATTTTGAAATTGAAATGCTAGTCAGACAAAACTGCTGTGCTTTGGTGAACCAGCGCTTCTATCTGGGCTGTGAACTGTTATAGACATTTAAGAGAGGAGAGCACTGAAACTGAAACTCATCTTTATTTAGTATTTATGTAATACCAGTTTGTGTAGTACTGTGGTTGAGCAGAAACTTGCATAGAATGTGAGTCTCTCACTGTGAAAGTGAAACATTTCCTGGTACTTAGCTGTATTGTTACTATTTAGCAGAAATGTGAAAGAAACTATAGTTAGTCTAACGAGATGACTGAGATATATAAATTGTTGTATACAAGTTATTTAAACTATCCCACGACTGTTTCGGTTGAAGGCAGCTCTGCTTGGCTTGGTCGCAGATCACAGAGGCGCTGTCTACGCTCTGTGTCCTCCCCTAACAAGATGCAATGAATGGAGCATGCATCCATTACCGGAGCAGCTCAAAGAGAATTGGCCTGTAAAGTATTTCTTTTTGTCACAAAGGTCCACTTGTTTATGTATTCTCCATAACTGTAACAGCACGCTTTTGTCAATGCACTGCACATCTGATATGTGACACTGACAAGTGACACCCTTTGAGGTATTCATTAGGTAAAAGCAAACTGGTGATTTCAATGATTCACATTTCTAATTACTTACTGTGGCACAACATCAAAACAGTAAGCGGCACGTACTCCACTGTGACTGAGTATCTCATTCAAATATTTCCCTCTACCTGTGGTTAGTCCTTACCTTGGGCATCATGTCCTCCATGAACTTCTGTCCTCCAAAACCCGGTTCAACAGTCATGACCAGAGCCATGTCGATCTGGTTAGCCCAGGGTGCCAGCTCCTCAACAGTAGTACCAGGCTTTATGGCCAAACCCACCTGCAAAACTCCCACAGTGTTAGTGTGAAGGGATTAAATACTGTATGAATTCATACAAATACTAACATGCATTTTTCAGACAAGTCTTTCCGACATGTGGTTTGTTAAATAAACCTTCAGATTCATTACACCTGTATTCTAAGAATCAAGGCCACTGTGCAGCATCACTGTCTCACCTTCATGCCACTCTCTTTTATCTCCTTGATGAGGTTTCCAGGGTTAGTGGTGGCCTCTATGTGGAACGTGTACTGGTTGGCCCCCGCTGCAGCCATTGGCTTCACCCACTGCTCCGGCCGAGACACCATCATGTGCATGTCTGCAACATCAACACTGTCACATTACTGCACCACACAGCAGAGCCATTCATGACTCACTTTAATGGGATAATTGGGTTATGGCTTTGATTATATGTGTGGGATTTTGTCTCACCAAAGAAAGGGTCTTGGCCTACTGACTTCCTTAGGCACTCTACCATGGGGTGGCCAAATGTGATGTTAGGGACAAAGTGCCTGCAAAGGGGAAACAAAAACAGACATTTACCTTCCAGCTGTGTGGACATTGACTCATCTTGCACAAACAACCGCAAACTAACGTCTTGCGTAAGTGTAGAGGAAGATAAAACACCCAAAACAACTAGCAGGAAGAGGGAAGAAGTGTGTTGTTAGGATTATACGCTCAGTTACTGTAAGGCCTCTTCAGTGACAAAACCTAAACCAGATAAACCCAGTTACATAAATATTCACTTCCTCCGGCTTAACTTCTGGCGAGCTATCTTAGCTTGTTGATGTTAGCCAACTTTAGCTCTCACCCACTGAACTTCCAATTGGGCGCTGCTAGCCGTTAGCATGCTAGCTCGTGTAACTTACTACAGGTGAACTGACCCGTCCATGACGTCGAGGTGCAGGTAGTCCGCCCCGCACTCCATCATCCGGACGCACTCGCTGCCCAGACAGGACAGGTCGCTGCTCAGGATGGACGGACCGATCTTCGCACTGTAAGCCATGCTGTTCACCGCTCTTACTGTCCTCATGCAGCCCTGGCAGCTAACGCAAGAGGTCAAGTCAACCGCGACGTAAAGTACGACTTCCGCTGTGAACCTTCAAAATAAAAGCTATAAGGCGCTGCAAACCCAAATGACTAAAATGTGTAGAATACTGAACAATTGCTGACGTGTGGTTATTTAAAAAAAAAAAAATGTGTGGGATAAAATGCCAGGCTCAGGATAGACCATATATAGTCTAATAGGACAGATAAATGAATGTATGGCTGCCTTTGTATGCAGTTGTGTTTATTTATGTGGTCGTTGTTTGAGGATATCACCATATACTGTCAGTGGATGTAACCCTACAACAAAACGCATTGTGTACTGCTTTCAAGTGTTATACAAATAAAAATATTATTGTTGTTGAACAAAAATAAATAAATAATCCATTCTCAGTGCAAGTAGGCCTATAAGACTAAAAAGGAAACATTGCTTTTGCATTCACCATCTTTCAGGTCAAACAAGGAGTTCATTGAATATTTGTTATAAAGATAGTTTTGAATCATTTTTCATTCATCGGTTCTATTTTGTGTTTTTCTTCTCCTCTCGAATATGGATTATTTTGAAGACAACATTTAGTCACTACCGGTCTGATTCAAGGTGTCAGTGGGTAACTTGGTGCAACTCTTCTGGCCTCACACTTCCGCCTTCAAAACAAGACTTTTGACACTAGATGGCGCAAATCTCATATGTGTAATGGACCCAGTTCTCGGCCCTTCACAGTGGATTTGATGTGAATGGGTGTTGATTGAGGAGGAGATTCAAGTTATAAGGCGCATAAATGGTGTTACTACTTGTTATTTTTTTCCATAACATTTTTGTTCCCCTGCAGTTAGTTGCAACATATTCCTGCAAATTGCAATTCTTGTTGTTTTTCTACTATGATAAAGACTAATAGCAAAGCCATTTCCTGAGAAGTCATTACAGATTTCTGTGAACACAGTCTAATTTATTTTGGGCTGAGTAATAGGTCGGGTTTGTTGGGTAATATGGGACACAGTTTTGTAATCAGTCTGTTGTTTTCATAGGACACGTTAAGTAATGTGGAACATAGTTTACTAAATGGTGTAAAAGGCATGAAATTGCCAAGCCTTTAGAATTCTTTCTCAATTCAAATTATCCAGCATGCTCTCTGTTTCTATTTTCTCTCTGCTATTAATTTCACTTTTTTATGTCTCTCTGAGATTTCACAGACTTGTTCTCGTCAGCCACCAACCTCCATCTGTCTCTGTCATTCTACTTATGCCATCACTTAAAACATAAGTGTGCCTACGGATAACTTAATGGGCGCACAATATTTTTCACACTATGAGGAAACAGGTATTTCATGATATAAAGTTGTCTTGGCTTTAGAAAAACAGGTTTTATTGATTCAAGCAGGTGGCTGGATGGAGAACAGGTTAGCCTGCAGGGTTACTATTGTCTGCCAAAGACCTGTGATGAATCTAAACCTCAAAAGAAAGAAAGCCTCTTACAGAAATAAAACAAATGCCAGTAGGACTAGAAAGGCTTTAATGCCATATACTTGACACAAACTTAATTAACAAATAAAACAGACAAAATATGCATAATAGGGCCTTAAAAAAAACTTTAGAGTGGGTGTATAAAATGCTTTAGTCCTGAATAATGCAATGATGTAACAACTTTGATATCATACCAATTTTATCATCTGATGTCTAAGGTATGGTGAGTGGATAAGGAATATGCAAGTGTGAATTAGTCCCAGATGTCCCATAATACCTGTGTAATCCTATTTTATCTCCTACAGTTTGGTGTCATTATAGCTCTTCAGAGATATAGTTTACAGTATCTTTACTGCACATTAGTTCAAGTTGTCCTTCTTTGTCAGATTTGTTTGTCACCTCCATCATCTTGGACACAGTCCACTGAAATGCTATGAATGTTTTTCAGATGAGTGTGTAAGTTGTTGTGATTTATAAGAAGCAGATGGCTGAGGTTTTAAAAAGCCTCTGCAGCGCTCTGCTGAAGCTCAGCTCACAAAGAGCCACACTCATATACCCAGATTGGCTAAACAGAATCTGACATTTATGAGTTTTACCCACGTTTTGCATTACTGCGGCAATGATGGAAACACTGGTGGCATGGCGTACTCTGGCCGACAGGAAGATGATATATGCAGTTTTTGAGCAGGGTTGAGGCAGAGTAAGTTGGCGTTGCAAAAAATTGGGGCCTCAAGAGTCTCAGAGGAAGGTAGTGAAAAAAAAAGCTTGGGCTTTGACAGTAATTTTGTGAACCTGTGCCACAGCTGCAAAGGGCTCAGTCTGTCCATATAAAAGTACTTTGTGGTGTCTCTCTGTTATTGAGAGCAGGGTTGATGGGGGTGTTCAAGGAAGATTCACTGCAGCTCATTTACTGACAGTTATCTCCTTAACTAAGATGAGTGAAACATTATTTTGAGTGGTTGAGTAGTGTATTTCCACAGAGGTCACACTCAAGGTTGATGAATCGCACCAACCTGGTTGAGTTTGTATTTTGTCTTCAAGAGGAGTCATTCTTTTTCCTGCAGCTGACATTTAAGACACATTCTTCAACATTACTGTAAACAGCTCTAACACCAAGCACATGACATTACAGTCAACCACAGGCTTCTGTTTACTGGAGGTCCCCATTAAAGACACCTTTTTTGTTTTAGGGAGGGAAGCTCAGGAATGTGACTCGCAGTCATTTTCAGGAGGCTGTCAAGCTGTTCTCTATTGCCCAGTGGTGACATATTCTCATTTTGACACCCCAGAATAACAAGTACTGTACTGTAATATATATTCACATAGCCTTCTGAGGACATTGATATGTGTATGAGAAAACAAAAAGCACTTTTGAGAAATATATTACATATAAATATATAACAAAATACATGAATATACTCAAAATAAACATAGCCCTCATGTTGTCATGCACAGTTTTCAGTTATTCTAAGTTATAAATCCTCTTTTAAATAAACACTTTGTGTATTAACACATAAATAAAGCCATGGCTGCTCTGTAATGCCATCTCACCTTACTAGAGGTATAGGGTGGGCCCCTCCAGATTTAATGGCAAGAATTTCAGAATTTATTTGGAAGATCAAAATCCTTAAGTGTGTGTATGTACTGTACTTCTTCACAGCATGTATGGCTTTTTGGTCCTAATGAGCTTGTGGATGAAAGATTTCTCGTTACATGCGTTCCTGCATCTCAGTCATCTGTGAAGACAATTAAAAAATGTCTTTTGTTGGAAAGTTGAAGACTAATCAGTTCCATTCCTGGTCTACTAGATGAGCGTGTGTTCATTTTCATATGTATTAGCAGCTTCCATTTTTATGAGTTTCTGGCTGTTGAACTGCTAATTAATGTGATTGTTTATATTTCAGCCAGAGCATTCTTTTAAATGAATATTAGTTTTTTAGTTTTTTCATCTCGTGTTCCCACAAGGTATCAGCACTTTTTCACCAAGTTGGCAAATCACCAGCACTTTCAATTGTGTCCCTGGAGGTTTAGGTTTAGCCTTTACAGTTGGCTAATTAACAGCTACACAACAGCGTGTACTAAACATGTTTGAAGTTGTTTAACAGTCTTTTGAAGTGCATCATTTACGGACTATGAATTAATTACCTTGTAAATCAATAGCAAGCTCAGTCAAACTGAAGAACCCACTCAAAAACACAACAGCCTCCTGTATCACAATTGCTAATCTGCCGGGGAAATTGTGTGTTGATTAGATATAGGAAAGAATTCCTGTGTGTGTGCTTTAAGTGCTCTTCAAGATGTGCTCATTTGCATTCAGCAATATGTGAGCTTTAGATAAGTTGGGTTTGTGTGACCTTTAACCTCTGCAGTAGAAGGCAGGAACAGGAATTGATACAGGGCTGCTCTGCTTTTTCTTGCTCCAGTGGTAGATTATTAAAGACTTGGTACACATCCAAACTTTTCATGTATTATCTTGATTGAAACCTTCCTCCTGCTTCCCTCCAGCAGTTGACTCTAGCCTCCTGAGCAAACAGATAGCGATAAACCACTTTCTTGTGATGGTCGGAAGGAGAGTTTTGAACATGTGTCCTTGTAGCCTTTCCCTTCCTGGACTTTATGTCACCGTGGTCGGGGTCCTTGAGTGGAAAGGGATGGGTGGGGTGGGTGCTACCTCCCTGCGCTAGGTTAATGCTCCCAATCAAGTTTTTTTCCCTGCCACGGGGGGGTCACACGGAGGTTTGTGTTTGTGTGTGCCTTCAGTATGGATGCTCAACACGCAAACTTTCATTGGGTGAGTGTTTGATGGCAAGATATCCACAAAGAGGTGAGAAGGAAATGCTACAAATCACAAGATCTCATGAATTTAAGGTTTTACTGTAAGGCCTATTATGAGAATGTTCAACCTGGCCCATTATACCTGTCATTGCTCACTGGATTTTCTAGAGAGACTTTTCATTATGATGATGAACTCACATACTGCACTCCCAGTAGCCACAAAGACTCACTGTGAGACCTGTAATTACTAACCACATTAGACTGAGACTAGAACCAGGAAGCTGTGGTCCTTTGTGTTGCCTGGCCTGTGACTGCAGGATTATGGGTGCTCCTAGTGTTTATTATACATTATGTCACACCATTACAAGTACATAAAAACAAGATTTGAAATCAGTGAAGTGGTCCTTCTCTTTCCACGTGTCTAAATCAGCTAGTGTCATCAGAATAATTATGTCAGTTATTTAAACAGTATTAAATCTGTCCCAGTGTGTATCCATTGACATGACCTCAAATTTATGTCCCCTGACCACAGCACACTTCAGAGCACCAGTGGCCAACATACAACTGTAATTGCCTGTGAAAACCCCCTCAATGGGGAAATGGACCCTTCCACCGGTCATAATTTAGTGTTTTATGGGGGACAGAGTGTCACTTCAAAGGGGCAGAAATGAGACCACAGGGGCACCAATGACATTTCAAAATGACAGCATGGGGTTATGAAAGAATAAAAAAAAAAGATTTATTCTGAATATTTTTGGGAGATTTAATACCAGTAGCCCACCAAG